TCACCTTCACTACTGAGATTAAATATTGCTTGGTCGCTTCCTTTATTTATGTACTTACAGATATACTTTATTAAACATTTTACATAGAATGGGCGAATACGGGACAATCCAGCTGTTATCTAAGGTTTCGAACGCTTCAGAGCGAGATTTGATTGTAACTTTCCTGCCACCATCTTCAGGAGCTCTGCGTCTGTATAAAGGGTAGCCATTGTCATTGTGCACTGTTTCTTTTAATAGCTGTTTAGGGAATTTCTTTGTACATTTTCCTTCTTTCATACATGGCGATATTGAATTTCGTGCTCCACATGGACCGTGAATCATATTTCGGACGATTGTATCACACAATTCTTTATCTTGCTCAGGATCCGGAATCTCGGCACTTATTATGTCGTCTATTTGGCTGGGCCGCAACTTTTCTTTAAGCCATATTAGAATGTGGTATGCGGTAATCCTCTTTTTTGCCATTCAATTGAATACATGAAGCACTGCACCTCTCCGAAAATTTTCCCTTTGTTAATTACATACATTAAGTTTTGTACTTTTAATCTAAATACTCTAGCAATTAAATTGTGTCTGTCAGTACTTTTTTGGCCCGGCATTAGCTCCTCGGTTATTTCTTTCCGTGTGGGATTACAAGTAAAAGTAACAAAAAGATCAGGTCTTCCGTAAGTTCGTACATAGGCGAATGCGTCTTGTGTGTACTCATGTAGGTAGCGGAGACTGTCAACGAATGATGAGGGCAGAATTACCATTTTACCTAAATCTCTGGGGTTTACATTGGCGTCACTAGAAACTGCATCTTGTAAATGTATATAATTCTCAACGCGCAGCTTTTTTGATTTAAAGATATATAACGGAGACGTTCACTTTCTACCTTCACATACATGTCTACCAAAAATTGATGAAATAATTGTCTACACTGGGCTATGAGGTTAAAATCATTTTCTCGCAACATCATATGATACGAATAAAAATCCATACATGATACTTTTTTGTTCGGAGTAGGCTCCTTTGTGACCGGGTTAATGAGTGGAATTTGAAAATGATAACCCTCTTGTCCTTTGCAATAAATCAATGGGTATTGCAGAGCGTCATAAAACTTGTGTGTATCAGCTACCCCTTGCAAAGTATCATCACGTGCTCGCAAGACAATGTCTCGTGAAGGAAATTTCATCATCATCATCATCATTACAGCCCTTCACAGGTCCACTGCTGAACATAGGCCTCCCCCAAGTAACGCCACAAAGCACGGTCCTGAGCCACCTGCATCCATCGACTTCCTGCATGTCTTACCAGGTCGTCACTCCATCTAGTGGGGGGTCGCCCTACACTACGCCTACCGGTACGAGGCTGCCACTCGAGAACCTTTCTTCCCCATCGGTTATCGGTTCTTCGGGCTACATGGCCGGCCCATTGCCACTTCTGCTTACTAATCCGTTCGCTATGTCGGTCACTCTAGTTCTACTGCGGATATCCTCATTTCTAAGTCTATCACGCAGAGAATCTCCAAGCACAGCCCGCTCCATAGCTCGCTGAGCGACTTTGAGCGTCCTCATACGGCCAGCGGTGAAGGACCACGTCTCTGATCCGTAAGTCATCACTGGCAACATGCACTGGTTGTACACTTTAGTTTTCAGAGATTGAGGTATACCTGACGTGAAGATGTGTCGTAATTTCCCGAACGCTGCCCAGCCGAGTTGAGCCCAGTCGATTGACCTCTCGGTCGAAGTTGGACTTACCTAGTCGGTCTATTTGTCCCAGGTAAACGTACTCGTCAACAACTTCGAGCATAGTGCTCCCAACAACTACCGACATAGGTGTGACATGGACATTAAACATGATCTTTGTTTTGTCCATATTCATCTTAAGACCTATCCGTTGGGAGACACCATTGAGGTCATTGAGCATAGTGCTAAGGTCCTCCAGCGATTCTGTCTTACACCTCTCTGCAGTTGGATACGCTTCGAACTCTGGTTCTGTACTCGGATAGCCATCGTAGCCCTACTGTACAAACACTTCAGCACTTCCATATACCGACAGTCAACTTGGCACCGCTGAAGGGACTGTAGCACCACCCAAATTTCGACGGAATCAAAGGACATTCTCATAATCCACTTACGCCAGGCAAAGTGGCATATTGTACTCCTCGGTCTTCTGTACAATCTGCCGCAGGGTATGTATGTGGTCTATGCTACTGAAACCTTTTCGGAAACCGGCTTGTTCGGGAGGCTTGAAGTCGTCGAGTCTGCGTGCGAGACGATTCGTAATGACTCTCGAAAAAAGCACGTATACGCGGCTCAGAAGGGATATCGGTCTGTAGTTCTTCAAGACAGCGTTGTCGCCTTTCTTAAAGAACAAGACCACCGCACTTCTGCTCCACGCCTTCGTCGTAGTGCCACTATGGAGGACGGAATTGAAGAGCTTCTGAAGGACTTCAAGTACCGGTGTTCCACCCGCTTTCAGAAACTCCGCTGTAATTCCATCCTCGCCTGGGGCCCTGCCGTTTTTAAGGTGCTGGAGAGCCATTCTAATCTCGCTCAGACTGACGTCCGGGATATCATCGGAATAGTGTCGGGTAAAACTTGCTCTTGCATCGTTACTCACACTTGCGTGTGGCTCCAACGATGATGTGTACAGCTGCCTATAGAACCTCTCAATCTCACTCAAAATCTCAGGTGTCTCGGAAACGATGCTGCCACACTCAGTCTTCAGCTTTGACAGTTGGCTCTTTCTGGCAGACAGATCCCTGGCAAAGACTTTGGAGCCCTGGTTCCGCTCGATCGCTTCTTTAATACGAGCAGTATTAAAGTTGCGTAAGTCTCGCCGCATGCATTTGGAGATCTGTCTGTTCAGTTGCCTGTATGCTGTCAAATCTGTTGACGATTGCAGCCTCATCTCCCGTCTAACAGCCATGAGATTAAGAGTGTGATCGGAGAGTTTTTGTGTTCTTCTGCGGCGGGTCTTGTAGAACTTAGCTCCGACCGCATGGACAGTTTCCACGAGCTTGTCATTCATATCGTCCACTGCATTGCAATCTTGTAGGCACTGAAAGCGGTTGTGTAACTCGAGCTGAAAGGTTTCGGGATTCTGGATTAGAGCACGAGGGGGGACGGAGCGTTGACTTCATCAGACGAGACCTCTCCAACTTAACGTTTAGGTTCAGTGTGCCTCTAACCATTCGGTGATCGCTGCCAGTTTTCACCCTTGCGGTCACTGAGACATCACTGAACAGTTGGCGTCTGGTCGTCATAATGAAGTCAATCTCATTTTTTGTCAAATGGTCGGGTCTCGACCAGGTCCACTTCCTGTGGGGCTGCTTCTGGAAGAAAGAGTTCATCATAAAGAGTCCCTCTTTCTCCATAAAGTCGGCTAGCTGCTGGCCCCTTCAGTTCCGTTGCCCTACTCCAAATTTCCCTACGTTCAGCTCACCGCTTTCTCTTGTGCTTAGTTTTGCGTTGAAGTCTCCCATCAACACCGTGTAGTGGGTTTTGGAGGAATGCATGGCTCTTGAAATATCCTCATACATTTCCTCCACCTCCTCATCGGGATGTGCCGAGGTTGGTGCGTAAACCTGTATGACCTTCAGCGAATACCTTTTGATGATTCTGAGTATCAGGTACGCGACCTTCGTCGACACACTCCCAATCTTTACAACGTTGTTGACGAGAGACTTGTGGACGATAAATCCGACACCTCCTTGGGACAGATGGTCGCCCTCCCGGTGGTAGAACAAAATACCGGACTCGAGGATTACCGTCTCCTCCCCCTCTCTTCGGAACTCGGATAATCCAATAATATGCCAGCGCAACTTGTCTACCTCTTCTTCCAGCTCCAGTATCTTCTCGTCAGTCCTCAGTGTGCGTGCGTTATATGTTGCCAGGTCGAGTCGTCGTAGGTGGCAACCGAACCTCCACCGGAGATTCTTAGCACCCCCTGCCCCGCCGTTACCATCGTCGTAACCGTAGCCACGAATAGCCGGGCCGCCGGGGACTGGCGGCCGTTTTATTGTGTCGTTATTCATGGGGGGATATTTGCCATAGTTGCCACGCTTGGCGAGCGGATTGGCAACCGCAGTTTTTTATTTTATCACAGGTTTATCAGTAAGATGCTGCTGCCCATCTCTTGGCTGTCTCCCTCTTTGTCGCCTCTTACAACACCCACGGGAAGATATGGGGTAGTGGATATTCTCAACCGCCACTACACGGCGTATCTAATAGCACGCTAGAAATTTATAGTTTATAGTCTGTAGCGTGCTATTGATTTATAGTCGTTTTGAACAACTTTAGTCCGTAGCAATATACGCGTGCGTACGACCGGTCGAGCACTGTAACGACTTGTGAATTTTCATGCAAATGGAAGGGCGACCGACGTACGCACCGACGGTCGGTCGAGCTCTAAAACCGGCCTTGTTATTACACTTCACGGTGGAAGGGCACTGCAGACCGGGTCCAATTTGACGCCCTAATTAGGGACCCTTACTCCCTTTCTCTTATTACACCACCCTGAATCAGGGCGTAGGCACCCTGATGGGGGGTGTAATAGGGGTATAACAACTGATGACCCTAATTAGGGGCCACGCCCAACCTTCATTCAGGGATCAGGGCCCTGATTCAGGGTAGTTTAATAGAGGCAATAGAAGTAATGTTCTGTGACTTCTGTGTCACTCGCAAATTGCTCTTGGCTCGCCTCGCCGCTCGCGTGAGTGTAAACCACAGAGTACCTTTGTATAAACTGAAAGTGTAAAGTGTAAACAGCAGTAAACAGGTTATTAAAGATGGTCACACATCACACTGGATTGATTTGATCCTATACTAGGTATATCCATATCTTGTTGTCTTGGCCTAAAGGTCTAGATACCAGGCCATAAACTCCGAAAAAAAATACTATAACTAATAACATAACCAGTAATCTATGAACATAACTAATAAGTTTGATAAATAAACTTTCTGTGCTTAAATAAACTTATAGCTTAAAATAAAACTTTGACTTGAAAGGAAACAATGCTAAAGGTGGTCTTGTAATTGTTAGGTGTAATGTAATGTATATTGCCATCATAACATTGCGGTATACTAACATAACCTCTTTTGTAGGGTATGGTGAGTTTGGTGACTGGGGGTGCTTCGGGTTTAGGCAAAGCAACCGTAGAAAGATTAATTAAGAGTGAAGGAAAAGTTGTGATATTGGACATTCAAGGAACAAGAGCACAGGAACTTGCGAAGCGTCTTGGAGGGAATGTAGCTGTTTCTGTTGGTTGTGTGAGTTAGAAATGTTATTATTCTTTTTTTTTCTTCATCAGCTTAAACTTAGAACTTCACCGCTCGTCATTGATTTGCCTTTATTGTCACACCTAGCAGGCAGAATGTACATTATCGGTATCTAAAAATTCTTACGCCGTGTAGTGGAGGTGCAGGAGAATCTGTCACCCTATTTTGTCTCGTGAGAGTATAATGGTCACATATATACCAGATATAGAAACCTAGACCAGTGTCAAAGTTGTCATACATCTAATACTGCATTTGCGATTCTGCCAGCCATGCTTGGTGATTATGGAGGATAATATTATGTATTTTTTACCATTAGGATTAGCCATAATCATCAGTACAAGAGATGCATCTCCAACAGAGGTCATGCCGGCAAAACTAAGGGGGAGTAATACTCCTTGAATTTTTTTTTGTAAACCACTGAATTGTGAATGTGTCTAGATGATTTTTTTAACTTTCCATACCCTCAAAAAGTAAGGAATCTGCACTCAGTTTAACCATAGTTTAACCCTGTCACTGTCCTGTGACCCACATATGGGTCATTGCTATAGTCTTACTATTGTGTTTGCAAATTGAAAGTCAGTGTTAAGAGGATACCTTGAAAATTAATCGTAGTTTTGAGGGTGTGGCTTATTCCTTTGTTGGTGAAGCTCACGGACAACTGAGAGAGCGTCAAATGAAAGTGATTTAATGACTTCATTATACGCAAATCATCAGATAGCTATATTGAGCACACACTCGGAAAAAACTAAGTAAGCGCCAAAAAACATTTTTTTAAAACAAAACTTCTTTATGGATTAAAAAAATAGTTTATGAGCACTTAGATAAGAACATTTACTATGCCTTAAAAATAATTCCATGAACTTATTTGTAAGAATATTGTGGTGTCATGGAGAATTGTAACTAATTAGAGCGTACTTGGCAATTTTTTTCTATCGAGAAAATTATATGATATCATGTTTTTCTTTTATGCAATCTGAGGTCATTTAATCAAAAATCATATACCAAAATTTTGATTTGTAATCTATAAAATTTAAAAAGAATATGTAAAATAGAAAAACCACAAAATTTTCAAGGTATCACCTTTTTTTGTTTAAGACAAAGTACACTAAATTTGATATTAATGATGTGATACATGCCATAGAGCATTTTCATTTTATAATTTCAGTATGGCCTTATATTTATTTTTAATATGCATCCAACATGTGGTAGTGGTGTAAGAGAATGTAGTACCCTATATCATCCAATGGATGACTTTTGATGGGATGTAATGAATGAATGCATGATTTTTTTTAACTTTCAGGTTTCATCAGAAGATGATGTGAAAAAGGCATTAGAATTGACAAAAAGTGAATTTGGTAGACTAGACACTGTTGTGAACTGTGCTGGATTTGCACAAACACGCCAAGTGTATAACTTTTACAAAGACAAGGAGTGTTCTATGGATGATTTTATTAAATGTATCAATGTAAGTTGATTTCTATGGATGTAGCAACCAATTAAGTACATAAACACTCACGCCTGTCACCCAGAGGAGTAGACAGTGACTATAGACTTCCATTTGGCACCATCCTGACACACCTCTCTTGCTTCCTTTATATCCATATACCTACTCATACATGCTTATTCGTTAAGGGTACTCTTAATCTGGCCAATCTTCCATTCATGTTTAAGTTGTAGTGTTTATGTTTTTAGGTACACAATTTGTCATCATTTTTAATGCAATATCAGACTGCACTTATGACAGAGGTAAAATACCCAGAGCTGGGAGTAGTAATGCTGTTGACACTTCCTGTGAGCTTTATCAGGTCTTCCATCTAGTAGAGATCGCCATACATAGAATGCTATATATATGTGATAGAATCGCACTGCAGCTATACTAGTTTTTGCACTAATGGGTCGGCTTGACTGGGGTAGGATGATGCTCTCCCAGACAGCATAAAATAGCAGCTTAAGGCTGCTTTATTTCGTATAGTGAGTGTAGAGAATTGGAGACCCTTTTTACTGCAATGAGGCATTCCATCTTAGTTCTTAGGTGTGACAAGGATCTGCATTTTGATTCTTAATTGAGGATAAATTTGATGTATATGGGCCACAGCATCCACTTACCATCAGGTGAACTATTTGCTCGTTTGTCACTCTTATTCTATATAAAAAATTATAACTGAGCTTGTACAATGCTGCCACTCCAGAACATTCTTCTCCATTGGATGTTAGATCTCCATTAATTTTATACAAGTCCACCTGTTTGTAAGCGAATGCTGTGGTTTATAGACACCTTTATCTATCCTCAATTAAAAATAAAAATGCAGATACATTACCACTCTTTGGGTGAATATGGAATGCGTTGTTAAAAATTTACAATCAAGTAACCACATATATTGCATAAAATATGAGTGTACATAATATTACTAACTTGCCCAACATGCATTGTTCTGCCCTTTCTGGTAGATAGTGCAATGATTTTCACTCTGACATTTTTACAGTGTTTAACCATATTGACCATATCAGGTTCAGATTTTGTGTTTTTGTTTTGGCACTAAAGTTACAGCCTGTATATGTCCTAGTCCTGAGCACAGGCCTCTGCTCATTTCTGAGAGGGTTTTAGGGCAAGGAATTGTCCATAGCCAAATGCGTGTTGGCGAACTTCACATGTCTTCAAAATATTTCTTTCTTATTTCTCAGACATGCAGGTTTCCTCACGATGTTTTCCTTTACTGCTGAGCACTTAAAACTGCAATTAACAATTTCATCGGTGCCGGTGGGGATCGAACACGGTTTGCTTGCGCGCTGTGAAATTTACAGCAAGCGCTAACCATCTGAGCTACCACGGCTCATTTGGCACTAAACCAAGATAGAGTTATTTTGGCCTTTAGATATAGAATATGTTAATAACTTGACTACTGCATCATCTATTTAATCATTGTCCCGACAAGAAAAACTATTCTGTGAATATAAATTCCATTTGGTCAAGTAGTTCAGACGTTACAAAATTGCTGACTGGAGCACCAACTTTTGCATATACTTACTGGAGTTACCGTGAGCAAATAATAGGGTGTAATAGGTGATGGAAGCAGTAGTCTATGGCATATTTTTTTAATTTACTGTTTTTTCATTATAATTTATCAAATTGTACTATCAATATAGAGTACAAATTTAAAGTAACTTATTTATTACATATGTAGATATAGACAACCTAACAGATAACAATTAAATTACATTAAAAAAATTATATAACAGTTTTGTATCAGATTGTTATCCTAAATATGTTGACACATCATTTTTATGTTTATTACAGGAGAGATCAACACTTTACAATATTTATGACATACTACATAATAAAACAAATTAAATTACCAATAACAATAATAATAACCAATAACAAATTAAAAACCTATGTGATATGGGAATGAGATAAACTCTTTAATCTAGTAGCTAGTTCACAGTTTAGGTGTTATTATTTCATTCATATATACCATGTCTAAAGGAAGGTGCACATGATTGAATATAGTTATTTTTAATTGCAATTATTTTAAATAATATATTTTATTTTATATTAGTTGGAAAATATTTTTTTTCATTTGCTTGTGCTTCTTTTTTCGTTTATACATTATACCCTATTTTTTCCTCACAGTAAAAAAGCCATGTGTAAAAAGATGTGCAGGTGTTGTTCTTCCCAGTCGAACCCCCCAACCGTATTGCGTTCATTGTACAGCTGGTGTGTGGCTCTACAAAGTTCAATTTTTTTTAAACTACAACTATATAGTCATCCTATTGCAAGTTTAGCTTACTGATCACTTATTACAAGGAAATTAACTAGACATCAACTTCATCATCCTGTTAACTGCCCCTTTGGTCTAGTGATTGCTGATCATGAGATCCCGAGTTCGAATCCCGGGTTGCTCTAAAATTAGTTATTGGGTTTTTCGGTCGAGAAGTTCTCAGTAGTAGCTGTAGTCAGGAAATTGGCGGTGTTTCACACCTGTGTCTCGGAAAGCAAGTAAAGCCGTTGGTCCTGCGCCTGATCTTTCACTGGTTGTGTCGGATTACCATCCCATCAGACCATGATAGTGAGGATATAGAGAGTGCACCTGTGCTAGTGCATACATTCGTGTACTGTAATCCTGTCCTGCGCAATGGCTAGCCTCCATTGAGACTGGCCGCCGTGACAAAAAATCAGTCTCTCAATAGATAAATACCTAAAAATAAGCAAGTCCATATTATTAATTTCGTATTATTACTTTAAAAGGTTTCTAGATTTCCGATTGCAAGCATACCTACATAAAACCACAAATTTCAGGTTAATACAATAGGCACTTTCAACACAATCAGATTGGCGGCCGGTTTGATAGGGAAAAATGAACCAAATGAAGATGGCCAAAGAGGAGTAATTGTAAATACAGCTTCGACAATAGCATACGAGGGCGACATTGGTCAGGCAGGTTATGCTGCTTCTACAGCCGCTGTCATTGGAATGACATTACCAATAGCAAGAGATCTGGCATCTAGAGGCATCAGAGTGGTTACTATTGCACCAGGTTTGTAAAATTACAGTGTATACATATCCTCCTGCTAGTATACTTCATTATTGATAGGGTAATAGAGGGGAAAGATCAGCGCCTTGGATTTTATTTTAACTTTTTGAGACATTTTTTTATGTAAGAGGGGGCAAATGAGACTGCGGCTCACCTGATGGTTAGTGACTACCGCCACTCATGTACAACTACAAACCAGAGGAATTGCAGATGCGTTGCCGAACTTTTAAAAAAGAGTAGGCTCACGTTTTGAAGGTAAGTTGTATCGAAAATATCGTTGGTGGTAGCTGATTTCACAAGGAAGTTGTGCGAGGAAGAAAACTTCTTGTAAATCGCACAGTAGTGGAGTGCCAATCATACAGATGGTATTGGTTCATGGGCGGTGGTGGTCACACCGGTGATGCGGCTCGCTTACTCGGCTCATTTGACCAATCTTATATTAAAAAGACTGCGTATTGGCAGACCTCATGTTTCCGACAGGTGGTGGTAGAATCATTTAATTTACGCTAGGCGTCAAATACTTAGACCGGTAACGAACAGAAGCGCGCGTGCGTTTGGCACTGCGGTATTGTCTATGCGCCTGCCGAGCGTGTCCATTAAGGCGAATTCTTCTAATGACGGGAGTATCCCGTAGCTAGCTTTAGAATTTATGGAGCGGTGGAGAAGAAGAACGTTGTACCTACGTAATTGTTGAGAGGTCAAAAAGCCAACCAGTACTTGATGCCAAAGTTTATTTTTCCTCAAGAAATTTGGTAATTTCGGTACCAGACATTGTGCAAGGAACATGCCTCCCATTGTCACTTCAGACTTACCTTTTGGAATAGGTTGCTTACTTCTAGGTCTGAGCTTTTACCCTCCTATACTCAGCTGTGGAATGTATAAAAACTTTATACTTATATGTAATAAAACGGAAATTGTTTTCATGATTTTTACTATTACGCAACATTTATAACTTCACAATTTTCTTTCAGGTATATTTGAAACTCCATTAGTCACTTATTTACCGAAAAAAATGATCGAATTTATAAAGCGAATGACACCATTCCCTTCTAGACTGGGAAAACCAGAGGAGTTTGCTCATTTAGTAACAAGTATAGTTGAAAATCCTATGCTAAATGGTGAAGTTATTAGATTGGACGGCGCCCAGAGATGGTTTCCTTTGTAGTTAAGTGTATAGTTAAATTTAGTGTAGATGCTTAAGACTGCAAATGTTTGTAAAAAAGCTGTGTAAATGTTGTTGTATGATTTGTTAATTATAATAAATCTTTGAAATCCTACATATGAATTTATTACTTATATTCCTTATTTTATGAAAAAGAATAAAAAGTTACGAAAGAATTTATTTTTTCTCCTAATTTTGTTTAAAATCAAAATACGAGACCCTGCTGCACATCTGCTGGTTTATTTTCCTCTACAGTGTGTCGTAAGAGGCGATAGGGGAGAAAACTAGGAGATGAACAGCAGCGAATTCCTCATTAATAACAACTTAAAAATAAGCAAGCAGTCAACCAACTAATTATGTACTCATATTACTTCAATGAGCAAGTATGACAAATATACTCTGTATTAGGCAAGCTATGGCTCTAGGAATGCCAAACCGAAAGATCAAAATATCTGGAGAAAATTTGAAAATGTTGGGATTTTGTAGTTGTCAGGAGAAATAAATATTAAAAATAAAAATGCAAAATATAAAAAGTTTATTCTTTAAATTAATAGGCTACAAAAAGACTTAACACTGTTGAAATTTTTATGTTGCCACATGTATTTCGCATTGGACTTTATTGAGTCCACTTGAACCTTTAGAAACTTTGGATACTAGAAGTATTCAGAAAAAGTTTTAAAATTCAAACAATCTACTTCAAAGTCCAGTCTAAGTACAAATTAATTTTTTATTAAATCAAAGGCAGCTGTGATGTGAGAAGCTGTTTATCTGGAGATTTTGAGTTTTGTCGGGAGTCTGGAGAAAATTAAAAATGTTGGGAGAATCCAGATGAAACCCGGCCATCTGGAAACCATATATGGCTCCCTCATAGCTATGTTCAACAGTGGACTTGAGAGTCTCTGATAGACGCACGGTCAGTTCAACTGATCAACCAACTGATCAGTTCAAACTAGGATTGTTGATATTTTATAAAATGTCGGGTTTTCGATATATTGATAAATAAACTAAAGTATAAAATTCCGATATTGATATATTTATAATTATCGATATATCGAAAAAACGATATTTTAAAAAATATCAACAGTCCTTGTTTGAACTGATCGTGTGTGGCGACAATAAGGGTAACGATAAATAATAAAATGAACGAAAACAATTTTCGATCAAACTGATATAAACAATACGACCAACGGCATTAACATTATAAATTATTTCATATTTATTTCAATTGCGAAGTTTGTTCTCAGTCCGGTGCGGTTTGCTGTTTATCATGGCATTTATTGCTTTATACCCTGTCAATGTGACAGTTGGCGGCATACAACGCGCGTGCGCAACGGGGTGCCGCCTGGCGGGAAAATCATGTATTGAGATATTTGTGTTGCAAGCGATGATTATATACTCTATTGTACGAGGTAATAAGACGGAAAGTAGAATGTAGATTTAAACAGTTGTAATTAATGTTTTACAGAGCTACTTTCAAAATGTGAATCTTAATGAGAGTAGAAAACGCTTATACTTGTTTTTTTTTTCTGTTCGTAATCCCTAACAATTTTCCATTTCATATTTCAATTTCGGTTTTGTCACTCCTACCATGGTAGATCTTTTGTGCTCATGTTTGTAAACAGGTTATAGATAAAATTACTTTTATGTTGAAAGTAAGGCACTGTTTTTTTTTTTTTTGCGCCCGAAGCAAATAAAGGGCTACCCTATACGTAGGGAGGCGGAAAATGCATTACGCATACCACGATAGCCGGTCTATCGTGGTTATGAGGGACTCACATCCTACCGGGGACCTAAGTGATACCCTCTAAAAACCGCCTTTAGGGACAGGCAACTGGCTGATTAAGCTTTATTGTGCCTTATCGTGAGCGACCCTCTTTTGGGAAAAGAGGGCGCAGGCGGCTACGAGCCGCTGAGGGAGTGCCTACGAAGGCAAATTAATTATGAGTGAGTAATAGTTTAATTTAATTAGAGTCAGACCGAGCCGCCAGGAGGCAGTTCAGGTCGTTTGTTAGTTTATTAGGCGGGTACGAGAGAGAGTTTCTCGGCCTGCGGACTCGATAGCGGGAGGGAGGTGGGGCTGCATAAGTAGCTGCCTCACGAATTAAATGGTTTGAGTGCGACTCTGAGGCTTTGAAGAAGTTCTCAGAGAGTTTTTGGAGAAATTGTTGAATTGTGGGGAGCTCTAGGTCCCGGTGAAGGTCAGCATTACGGACGTACCAAGGTGCGTTCGCAGCTCGACGACAGAAAAGGTTTTGAACTATTTGGAGTTCATTAATAACTTTTGGGTTGGCGTGGGCAAAAACGGGGCCCGCGTAGGACATGACTGGTCGTATACAGACCTTATAAAGAGTACGCTTGTTTCTAAGGGACATTTTACTGTGTCGGCCCAACATACTGTTGAGCTTACTCAGATAAAACCGTGCGTGACGGGTTATTCTTTTGACGTGGGGCCTGAAAGTGAGCCCCGTGTCTAGAGTGACACCTAAATATTTGGCGGTCGTATGCCAGGGGACAGGGGTCCCTAGAGTGTTTTTGAGACGGCGTCGTTTATAATCGAAGTGAACGGCGGAGCTCTTCTCCGGGTTCACATCGATGCTCCATGGTAAGGTACTGCTGCAACTCCATACTATATTGGTACCATACTATTGCGTTTTGAAATAAATTTTAAATGATAGATAAATGGGTTCCATAGATTATATCAATAATTTAATATCTTCAAACTCCTTTAAGAAATCAATTATGTACATTAGTACCAGTAAATGTTCAATAAGAATGTTAAAACCAAATATTTTAAAGCAATGTAGGTAGTTTTTTTTAGTGCTCAATCCTTTAAGTTGATATCAGACAGTTAATTTTTCGTTAATTTTTATCTTTCATTCGTCACCTTTCACGCAAAGTGAATCGTTTGAACACATAATGAAACTAAAGTGCCGAATGAATTCATTAATGAACCGATCCAACAATGTTGGATATTGGCACTCGGAATCTGTCACTGCCCCTCCGAATGAACGAAAAATGAACGGTCTGAACACAGAGTGAACGTTCACTCGTATTCGGTCGTGGTGTTTAAATGGAACGACCAAAATACGCTGCTTTTTTTGGACAACTGTAAAAATTATCAATGCCTTTGGAACCACAAAATTGATAAATATAAAAACAAAACAATACGGGCAAACGCTATACAATCTTTTAGGATTTAAACTTAGATGTTACTGAGGAAGACATTAAACATAAAATAAAGACGTTGAGGACCCGCTATACAACAGAATTAACCAAAATAAAGCAATCTACAAAGAGTGGTTGCTCTTCTGACGATGTTTATGTATCGACTTACTCTCTAACTAAAACATGCAGAATTTTTAAGTGCTGCATGCATCCCACGGCAAAGTAGGTATATCAACTCTCATAAGTAGCTTCCGTTTCTATTTACTTATTAAAACTCAGTATTTACGTTAACATCTCCTTATCATGTTCCATTGCCATGGTACAGTGCAAGAAATTATAAACTTTTCTGCATATGCATCACGGACGCGACGGGCGTTTTCACTGTGATTTCTTGCATTAGTTGCTGGTAAACCACTTAATGTTAAAGATAAAAGAGACTTGTGTCAAAATCCTTGGTTTTCAGTGATCGCTATGTAACATAATCCATTGTAGTTTGTCTCAGCTAATTATGTAGTGCACACGTCGTTTTGACAAGTTGTTCAACTTTTTGCACTAAAAATGGAATAGGCTTTTCAAAAATACGGAATTTTGATACTAATATTCCAAAAGTGTTTCTACGACATGTCGAGCTTTTGAAAGTCTATTATTAAATATTTTTTGTTTATCGCCATACTTTCCTCTAGTGTTATAAGATTTCAAAATATCTGTTGGTAAAGGAAAGGCGTCGTCAGCCACGATTACGCCTTCCTTCGGCATTTTAAGAAGATTTAATGATATAGCTTGATTAAATGTTGATTTACTAAAGATAGATGCATCATTTGCTCTTCCGTTTGTTCCCACATCTATATAAATGAAATTATATTTCGCATCCACTACTGCAAATAGATGTATACTGAATATCTTTTGTAGTCAAAATAGTCCGAGCCTGCATGTCCTGGGCATCTTATATTCACTAACTTTTCATCCATTGCACCGCAACAGTTTGGAAAGTTCCAAAGTTTAAAGTAGTCTTCCATTATTTTATTCCATTCATTTTGACTTTCAGGAACCTGTAACAATATCAAAATTTTAATTATAGGATATATCAGTTAACACGCAGGTGACTGAAAATGAAGGGTCGGCTGAATCTGAGCAGAACAATACTATAGCTGGTAGTGAGAAACAGAAAACACCAAATTGTGAGCACAGTGAAAATGGAGGAAGTGGATCACCATTTAATTTTGAAAAGCCAATTAATCACAAAAGGAAGATTGATTTGCCGATTGATAGGGCAATCAAAGAATTAAAAGCTATATGTGAGCAAAACAAAAAAACAACTGAAAATGAGTTTGATTTGTTTTGCAAAAGTTTAGCAATACAACTCATGAAAATGCCTCTTGACAGGACATTCAGATGTCAGGAAAAATTTCAGTCGATGATGACCCAAGAACGTCTTACACAGATATCACAGTCATCAATTTACTCGGACTCAAGCACTCAATCCCCATTTTCTATTAACCAGTCGCCTCAATATGATACCTACTATTTAACCCAAGAACAAGTTCACTCACCAGTTGTATCTGTACCTATGAGTTCTCCACAAAAACTATTTCAAATTACAGAACCTCAAGCATCCACCCAAGAAAACTTAGTCTTACAAGCTCCTCCATATGAAAATACCAGACCAAAGCATCATCACTACATTGTTACCCAACAGCAAGCTAATTCGTCAATAGTAACTGTGCTGAATCAAACGGAGACGAATCAAATCGCAGTGGATCAAACATCCATTCAAGAAAACATCCTCTTTCAAGCTGTTAAAAGTATTTTGTGAGTGATAATTGATTAAAACTACTTTTACGGATTTTATCGCGATAAAATCCGTAAAAGTAGTTTTAATCAATGTGTAGTGTTCGCGTAAATATAAGAAATCGTTATGAATGGTAATGGTTAAACTTATACATTTAAATAAAAAAAATTTAACATTGTTTTTTTTTGTAATCAAAAATTTTACTTACCTTAATACATTTTTCAAGGGCCGTCCAAATAGCTTCACATACTTCTTGGAAAAAGTAGGATATTATATTTCGAGGTACTCTGTATAAATAATACTCTAAACTTCCGAAAGAATCGCCAGTAGCAATGTATCTTAGTACAATTTGAAGTTTTATTCGGTTAGGTATGCTATCTCTCATTAAAGTAGTTTCTTTAGTAGTCTACTGAGAAACAAGTAATAGAAGTTCTTCAAATTTATTTTCGTCCATTCGCAGATAATTGTAACATGAGTCAGGATCTTCATCGGCTAATTCTCTCAGTAATGTATCTGAAGCTCCCAATATATTTCTAATTGCAATCCATGGCCGTACCCACCATCTTCGACGTTTGCTTTCTTTTTTGTCAATTCCTTAATTGAGCTATCGCAAATTAAATTAATTCCAATACGCGCAACTGAATTAATTAATTTGCGATAGCTATTCGCGATAGATATTATATTCGACCACATCTTGAGAGAAAAGAGCGGGTGAATGTTCATTTTTTAGTCACTCTATCTAGGCTGTGTGAACATGGAATGAAAGAAAAATGAAGCAGTCACTCCAGTGAATATGCATTCGAGTAAACTGTCTGATATCACCTTTATTTTTTTCCGCAAACTGGATTTGATGAAGTTTTTTTTAAAAATCCTGATAACAATTAAAAAAACTGGGGTTGCCAACCCGCTTACCAATCGTGACAACTATGGTAAATATTCCCCCTATGAGGCAATCTATAGGCGAGGTGGTGGTTCAGCAGTGGATTTTAATAGGCCGTAACGGTAATGGTATTTTAAGGGTTCTGTAGTTAAACGACAAGGAACCCTTATAGGTTCGCCATATCCGTCCGTCAGTCAACGGAATATAAAAAACAAGAGGAAGTAACAATGCGTCCGTCCGTCCATCCGTCCGCCTGTGGTTTTACACAGATACCCTAGAACCTAGTCTTGAAAAGCATTTACATTTTTGGTACCATGCAGGTGGTTTTTTTATCCGTCTATTACATCGTATGATAATGATTGTCGTTTGATAGAACTCAAAAATATCGATCGGAACGATACATCTACATTGTTTGTATTAAGTTAGATTTTTCTTATATGTAGTAGTCAAAATAGATCATCTTTGCTCAGTTAATTAACATACCGACGTGTCTCCTATTTCGGTTTCTGACTGCCTTGGCGTTTCCCTCCATGCAGATTGACAGCCGTACACTAACGAAGAAGGATCTAAAACTAGCTCCTCATGATAAGGTCCGAAGCCACCATGACGTTTATAAACGTATATTTAGATCACATTTTTTTACTTCTTAACAAAAAAGTAAGATAATAATAGTAAGATAATGGTTGACTGGGAGAGAATGCCCTATGGCGGACTTAATCCGCCATATGTACTACTTTGTGCATAAAAGCATAAATAAATAAATAAATAAGATACCTTATTTAATAATATTATATCCTAACTAATCAAGCTTTTACTCATAAATATGTAGGTATCTCTAATGAGTAATTTTCTTTTGATTCTTCTTATTCTTTTGTTTATTTTTTATATATATAGAAGAGGATCAAACGAGCATGCGACTCGCTTGATGAAAGTGATTACCGCCGCCCATGAATAACTGCAAAATCAGGAGAATTGCAGGTGCGTTCCCGGCTTTTTAGCAAGGAGTAAGTTCTTTTCTTGAAGGTACCTAAGTCGTACAGAGCGGTGTCGATGGTATCGTGAGTTTTGTCGCGATGTGCGTCGTGAAATTTGGCGGCTGGAATGAATCTGAACAATTACTCAGAGCACTCCCCGTGGTAGATGCAATACAAAATGCAAAGAGATGCAACATTTCTTCGCAGCGCCAGTTTATCGAGCCGATCGGAGAGGACTCGGTCGTCGACGATTCGAGCCGATGTGTGCTGGTTGCGTTCAAATGGAAGGAGCTGGCACTGGAGAGCCCCGGGCCAGAGATGGGAACAGTATTCCATGTGTGGACGAACTTCCGCCTTGTAAAGTTGCAGGCGGTGTACCGGCATGAAATACTGGCCTACTCTGCTGAGCACGCCAAGCTTTTTAGGTCTTCTCTTCCACGTGCCCACGAAACTGCACATCCTTCGATATGTCGACGCCGAAGATTACGATATACTGGCTGAGGCAGCAAGAACAGTGCCTTGAAACTGAGGAGATATGACTAAGGGGTTTTAGCGGTAAACGTGCAAACTTTTGTCTTCTGGGAATTGAATTGGACTAGATTACCCAGACCCAATCGGAAACTTTGGTCAACAATGTCTGGACTTCAGAAACAAGCTTGTTCCGGCACTCGGCGACGTTTTTCCAAAAAATATCGGCACGGCCGGTGTATAAAGCATCACCAGGGCTGTCGTTCGCATAGCAATGAATGTTACCTGTTTGAAACATATCATTAATATGCAGAAGAAATAGCGTTGGTGATAGCTCGTAGCCTTGTGGAAAAAAGCGTTAATAGAGTTGCAATCGGGGCATGTACCGTCTACTACGACCTTGATGTTTCGATCAGACAGAAACTGGTGATCCAATTGTATAATTTCTCGGGAAGCCCATTAGAAGGAAGCTTCGCGAGAAGCGCCTTGTGCCAAACCCGATCGTAGGTAGATCCCTTCACTATGTCCAAACTAACGGCCAATGCCTCCCCGTTGGACTCGATCGTTTGCGCCCATCGGTGTGTTAGATAAACAAGAAGATCACCAGCTGAGCGACCCCGACGGAAACCGTACTGGCAGTCACTAATCAGCTTTACTACTAGGTACCGCATGAGCTGGCTGTTAATAATGGACTCCATTACTTTGGGGAGTAAGGAGGTGATGGCGATAGGCCTTTAGTTGGCCGGATCAGAGCGGTTATCTTTTTTAGGGATCGGGTGCACGAAATCTGTCTTCCATGTACTCGGGACTACGCCTAGGAAGTAGGAGTACCGGAAAAGACGCGTTAGAACCGGTGCCAACTCTGGAGCACACGTCCTCATCACAATTGGGGGATTCCGTCAGGCGCACTCAACTTGTAGATGTCCAGGGAGAAGAGTGTTTTAAGTGCTGAGCACTATGTGAATTGCACATCAGGCATAAAGCACTTACACCTCGGGATGATCGGCGATGTGTTCCCCCCTTCATCGAGAGTCGGGTTGGACGTAAAAAGAGAGCCTAAAAGATCGGCTTTCTCTTTTGCGGCGTGAGCCAGTGAGTCATGCTGTGCAGAGATGGTAGTGATGTCTCACAGAAATTTCCCTGGACAGCCTTGGCGAGAGACCAGGATGCACAGGTTCCCAAAGGAAGGTGAACTAATTTCTCGATTTTCGAAATAATTCTGCCAATTTGCTCATACTTTGCCTCGGCAATAACAATTTTGAAGGACCTGGAGCTGAAGTTATACTTCTTTTAAGCTTGCCAGTGTTTCCATCCCGGGCCTCTCCTGCTTATTGCGTAATGAAGTCTTACAGGAGCAATCAAACCAAGATTGGGATCTACCTCCGATGGCTACCACAGATGATAAAATCAATAGTTCCATTCCATCAGTGACAGAGTCAGCAACAGCGCTGGGATCATCCAGCGAGAAGCAAACCCACCCCATGAAAGACCGCATTCCGTTCCAATCCGCCGACCTGTAATCCCAAATGGACATTGGGCCTCCGGCCACCTCCACTCACCAAACGAAACGCAGAAACAGAGCTTGAAGCTGGTATTCTGTGAGTTTGAGCCGGCTCATACGTGCAATGGCAAAAGCTGCCTCGTGGCTCCATCACTGTTGTCCATCCGTAACAGTTCACTGGTTTTCCTTCACAAATTGTTAGCAAATAGTTGCAGTACGATTGGGTTGGTTCGAACAGGGAAAGACCATGCTCTCACAGAATACCAGTGTAAAATTCGTGGAATGAGCGTGGTGAATCGGATATCCTTTTTTTTTACTGGTATCGAGACTTCCTATCTTAGTCTTGTTCGTGTGCTCGTTTGTTACCCTTTATTTTTATAAAAGATATTTGAATCAAATTGTTGTATTGGACATGGCTCGTACATTTGTATATTTTTTTGATAGGATAAGGGTGACAAACGAGCACACAGTCCACCTGATGATAAGTAGATGCTATGGTCCATAGACATCTACATTTATACCCGATTAAGAATCAACATGTAGATTTGTAGTAAGGAGATGTTGAACAGGGTAAGAAATTGTGTAATAAGAGAAGAGTGTGGTTTGCAAGATGATGTTGTGACCAGGATTAAGAAAGGAATGCTTCGGTGGTTTGGTCATGTGGAAAGAATGAACCAGGAAAGAGTGACAAAGAAAATTTATGGTGCAGAAGTGAATGGCAGAGTCGGAAAAGGACGTCCTAGGCGAAAATTTATCGACCAAATTGGCGATTTATTGAAAACGGGCCAAATTAGGAGTACCCTTAACCGACGAGCATGTATGCGTAGGTGTATGGATGTGAAGGAGGCAAGAGAGGTGTGTCAGGATCGTGCCAAATGGAAGTCTGTAGTCTCTGCCTACCCCTCTGGGTGACAGGCGGGAGTGTTTATGTATGTAGATTTGTTGTTACCCGTTAATACTAAGATAGAATGCCTCTTTTCCAGTAAAAAGGGTCTCCGTTCTCTACAATCACCATACGAAACACAGCAGCACTAAGCTGCTATTTTACGCTGATATTCTGCGCGAGCGTGGTCCTACCCCGGTGAGACGACCCATTCTTGCTACAACCATAATAATTATAGTTGCAGCGTGGCTCTACGACGTATAAGCGTATATGGCCAATGTTAAATGTCAGTTGTGGCGACTTAATTATAGTTTTGAA